TTTAAATTTAATAACTACCTACAGCACAAGATGATTTATTTAATCCTGTTTGAATCCAAACAAACGTATGTATTTTCATTGTTCTTCAATTCTAATTCTATATATTACATATATTAATATTCAGCTAATATTGAAATTATCTTAATGTCAGGTATGTCACACTCATATGATATTACGAGTCACATAATCTACTTTGTATTAAGTTGAGGGCCGCATGTTTTCAATGTTCAAAAAACTAATAATATACGATTTTTAGAATGATTATATTATGTATTTGTTAGACTTAATGTCAAGCTCAATATATTGTATATTATACATACATAGTCGTCTTGTATTTCATGTCATTTTTTAAACTTAAACTGTAAATATTTTATATTTTTTATAAAAGACAAAAATAAAAGTTATACTAAGAAATAAACAAAATCACGGTTTAATCTTTTTAGAAAATATTTGACATCGTTTTTCACAAAGCAAGTCATCAAGATTTGGTTGAATATATTGAGCTGATGCAATTTTTAAAATTGATGATAAATCTTGATCGGTTAATCTTGACCTTTCTGAATTTTTGTTATTTTTCATTTTTAATGTTTTACATTTAATAACTGAGCTTTCCGATGGTACCGAAGTATTCCGTACGTGTTGTTTCGAAAGCATCGCATGACCAGAATGTCCGGTGAGAGCATCCAAAGCGGAACATGAAGGAACTAGATCAGAAAATGATTAAATTAGAAAGCGTCGTCAATTCCTTCGCGGTAGCGCGGTGAATGCCTTTTCCGCTTCCATTCCGGCTTTCATAATTCCCCTCAGACATACCATCGTGCAAATTAATTAACATTATATGTAGCGATATCGATGATTCGAGGCCACTTCGACTCGTGCGGTGTGGCAATTTCTTGCACAGTACTACGGACGAAACGAAACGAAACGTTTAGTGCATACATGATGTGCTTTACTGGCTATGGTAATTATCCTGTTGTTCTTCTGAGACCATCCACACCAACAGCGAAAAAATGTGCCACTCGGAAACGCGCACGTTCTCTCTGTCCGGTCTGATGATAATTCGCATCGGTGTTGTTGCACGCCTGCCGGCTCGAGTCTGATTAATTCGCAATATGAATTAGAAATCAACGTGTTCAGTGTTTCTTTCAGTCTTCCTCGAGACTTTCGATCGGCCGGTGAGACTCTTAAAAATCCTTCTTCACCGAGACGTTGATTATTTCCACGTTTAATGATTCGACGATATTCTTATATGTGTATCGGTGAAATTAATGACACGATTATAGTCATTCAGTGATCAAAGTTCGAAAATCCTTAACGATTCGAAGATACCGAGACGCGACAAGTATTCTGTGTATTTGACATCGAACGGGAATTGTTCTTTTATTTATTTGTTTACAGTGCTCACAGTTATTAGTGGTGTAAGTCCAGCATGGCCACTAAGAAAATGCTCCCCTTGCCGTATCCATATTCCTTGGAAGAGGAATTGAAGAAGAATCCAAAGATAAAGATGTCCGATATCGAGCTGCTGAGAGAATGGTGCGAGAAGCAGCAACATTTGCCGAAACTCACCGATTTGCATTTGATTATGTTCCTGCACAGTAATTATTATAGCATGGAAGCTGCGAAGAGCACCATAGAAAACTTTTTCACTATAAGATCCCACGTTCCCGAATTCTTTGCCAATAGGGATCCCTTGGGTTCGAAAGAACTTCGTCAAGCATTCAATACCGCGTAAGTTACATTCATATAATTTTGTATAATTAGTCTTTCATTTTTAAATTATACTTAACGATTTCAATTGTGAATAACGAAAATTTTATAAGTTGTTATTGAATATGTACATACATACTTCACTTTTTATAAACAATTCTGAGAAACACGTTAAGGGACCTTACCAGTGTGAAACTTTAAAAAAATCGAATTTCTTTTTTG